AATGGTAAAAATTGGTCAAAACAAAAGTGCCACAGGCCCCATACAAGTCCCAGATCCAGCAGGTTAATAATTAAATCTTTTTCTTTCTTTCTTTTTTTTTTTTCTTTTGAGATGAAGTCTCGCTCTGTCGCCCAGGCTGGAGTGCAATGGCGCAATCTTGGCACACTGCAAGCTCTGCCTCCTGGGTTCATGCCATTCTCCTGCCTCAGCCTCCAGAGCAGCTGGGACTACAGATGCCTGCCACCGCGACCAGCTAATTGTCTTGTATTTTCAGTAGAGATGAGGTTTCACCGTGTTAGCCAGGATGGTCTCAAAAATCTTAAAGCTCCAAAATGATCTCCTTTGACTCCATTTCTCATATCTGGGGCACACTGATGCAAGGGGTGGGCTCCCATGGCCTTGGGCAGCTTCTTCACAGGTTGGCATTGAGTGCCTGCAGCTTTTCCAGGTGCAGAATGCAAGCTCTCAGTGAATCTACCATTCTAGGGTATGAAGGATGGTGACCCTCTTCTCACAGCTCCACTAGGCAGTGCCCCAGTGGAGACTTTGTGTTGGGGCTCCAACCCCACATTTCCTTTCCACACTGTCCTAGTAAAAGTTCTCCACAAGGGCTCCACTCTTGCAACAGACTTTTGCTTGGACATCCATACACTGTCTGAAATCTAGGTGGAGGTTCCCAAACCTCAATTCTTGACTTCTGTGCACCCACTGGACCAACACTACATGGAATCAGCCAAGGCTTGGGGCTTGCACCCTCTGAAGCAACTACCCAAGCTGTACCTTGGCCCCTTTTAGCCAGAGCTGGAGCTGAAGCAGCTGGGACACAGGGCACCAAGTACTGAGGCTACACAGAGCTGGGGGGCCCTGGGCCTGGCGCACAAAATCATTTTTTCCTCCTAGGCCTCTGGGCCTCTGATGGGAGGGGCTGCCACCAAGATCTCTGACATGCCCTGGAGGCATTTCCCCCATTATCTTGGTGATTAACATTGGCTACTCATTACTCACGCAAATTTCTGCAGCAGGCTTGAATTTCTTCCCAGACAATGGGGTTTTCTTTTTTTTATTGCATTGTCAGGCTGCAACTCTTCCAAACTTTTATACTCTGCTTCCCTTTTAAATGTAAGTTCCAATTTCAGATAATCTCTGTCAAGTTCAAAAGTCCACAGATCTCTAGGGCAGGGGCAAAATGCCATTGGTCTCTTTACTAAGGCATAGCAAGAGTGACCTTTGCTTCAGTTCCCAGTAAGTTCTTCATCTCCATTTGAGACCACCTCAGCCTGGACTTCATCGTCTATATTACTATCAGCATTTTGGTCAAAACCATTCAACAAGTCTCTAGGAAGTTCCATACTTTCCCACATATTTCTGTCTTCTTCTGAGCTCTCCAAACTGTTCCAATCTCTGCCCAGTTCCAAAGTCGTTTCCACATTTTCAGTTATCTTTATAGCAGTACCCCATGTGCTGGTACCAATTCTCTGTATTAGTTCATTTTGACACTGCTATAAAGATACTACCTGAGACTGGGTAATTTACAAAGAAAAGAGGTTTAATCAACTCACAGTTTTGCATGGCTGAGGAGGCCTCAGGAAACTTACAATTATGACAGAAGGCAAAACAGGCACTTTTTCACAAGGTGGCAGGAAAGTGAACCCATGTGAAGAAGGAACTTTTAAACACTCATAAAACTCACTGTCACGAGAACTCGCTATCGCGAGAACCATATGGGGAAACCACCCCATGATTCAATCACCTCCCATGAGGTCCTTCCCTAAACCCCTGGAGATTGCAATTTGAGATGAGATTTGGGTGGGGACACAAAGTCAAACCATATCACATAGTTATCTTTCCTTTTAGGTATTCTTGTAGGATTACCTAAAACAGACCCTTTTGGCAAATTTTCAGCATATGGTACAATATTATTAATAATCTTCACATTGTATACTACATCTGTAGACTTATTCTTATGACATAACTGCAAGTTTGCACCTTTGTCATTATATCTTCCTCTTTCCTGCACTCCTCCACCCTTGGTAATCACTGTTCTATTCTGTTTCTATATATTTGAATTTTTCAAAGATTCCACATGTAAGTGAGATCATGCAGTATTTGTCTTTTTCTGTCTGGCTTATTTCACTTAGCATAATGTCCTCTAGTTTCATTCATGTTGTTGCAGATGACAGAATCTCTTTCCTTATTTATTTATTTATTTAGAGACAGAATCTCACTCTGTCACCCAGGCTGGAGTGCAGTGGTGCAATCTCAGCTCACTGAAAGGTCCACTTCCCTGGTTCACGCCATTCTCCTGCCTCAGCCTCCCAGCTAGCTGGGACTACAGGCGCCTGCCTCCATGGCCAGCTAATTTTTTATTGTATTTTTAGTAGAGATGGGGTTTCACCACGTTAACCAGGATGGTCTCGATCTCCTGACCTTGTGATCCACCCGCCTCGGCCCCTCAAAGTGCTGGGATTACAAGAGTGAGCCACCACGCCCAGCTGAATCTCTTTCCTTTTTAAGACTGAATAATATCACACACACACACACACACACGTGCGTATATATATATCCCACAACTTGTTTATTCATTCATCTGTCCACAGACATTTAGGTTGTTTCCATAACTTTGCTACTGTGAATCACGCTACAGTGAACATGGGAGTGCAGATATCTTTACAAAGTGTTGATTTTATTTCTTTTGGGTATATATCTGGAAGAGGGATTGCTAGAGGATATGGTAGTTCTATTTTTAATTTCTTTAGGAACCTCCATACTGTTTATCTTAATAGTTACACCAATCTGCATTCCCACCAACAGTGTACAAAGGTTTTCTTTCTTGACACCTTGGCCAATACTTATTATATCATGTATTTTTGTTAATAGCCATCTTAATGGGTGTGAGATGATAGCTCATTGTGGTTTTGATTTGCATTTCCCTGTGAATTAGTGATGTTGAGCACCTTTTCATATTCTTGGCCATTTGTATGCCTTTGGGAAAATGTCCATTCAGGTTCTTCGCCTATTTTTTTTTTTTTGAGATGGAGTCTCACTCTGTTGCCCAGGCTGGAGTGCAGTGGCATGATCTTGGCTCACTGCAACCACTGCCTCCCGGGTTCAAGCAATTCTCCTGCCTCAGTCCCCTTAGTAGCTGGAATTACAGGCACATGCCACCATGCCCAGCTAATTTCTTTTATTTTTAGTAGAGATGGGGTTTCACCATGTTGGCCAGGCTGGTCTCAAACTCCTGACCTCAGTTGATCCACCCTCCTTGGTTTCCCAAAGTGCTGGGATTACAGGCATGAGCCACTGTGCCCGGCTGCCTTTTTTTTTTTTTTTTTTTTTGAGACAGAGTCTTGCTCTGTCGCCCAGGCTGGAGTGCAGTGGCGCGATCTCGGCTCACTGCAACCTCTGCCTGTGGTGTTCATGCCATTCTCCTGCCTCAACCTCCCGAGTAGCTGGGACTACAGGTGCCTGCCACCATGCCCAGCTAATTTTTTATATTTTTAGTAGAGACGGGGTTTCACAGTGTTAGCTAGGGTGGTCTCGATCTCCTGACCTCGTGATCCACCTGCTTCGGCCTCCCAAAGTGCTGGGATTACAGGTGTGAGCCACTGCGCCCGGCCAGGGCTGCCTATTTTTAAATCAGGTTATTTACTTTTTTGCTGTTGAGTTACGTAAGTTCCTTGTATATTTTGGAGATTAACCCTTTACCTGATAAATGGTTGACAAATATTTTCTTCTGATATTCTGCCTTTTCATTTTATTTATTGTTTTCTTGGCTCTGCAGAAGCTTTTTAGTCAGATGTAGTTCCACTTCTTTTTCATTTTTTGTTTTGCTTTTGTTGCCTGTCCTTTGGTGTCATATCCAAAAAATAATTGCCAAGACTCATGTCAAGGAACTTTTCTCTTATGCTTTTTTTTCCTAGGATTTTTATGGTATTAGGTCTTACATTTAGATCTTTGATCCATTTTGAGTTGATTTTTTGTGTATGGTGTAATGTAAGGGTCCAGTTTCATTCTTTGGCATGTGGATTTCCAATTTTTCCAACACCATTTATTGAACAGACCATCCCTTCTTTATCATGTCTGCTTGGTGGCATTGCCAAAGATTAGTTGACCATGTATGCTTGGATTTATTTCTGGGCTCCTGATTCTGTTCCATTGGTCTGTGTATATGTCTTTATGCCAGTACTATACTGTGGTATTTTTGAGACAAGGTATTTGCTGGAGTGCAGTGGTGCTGTTTCAGCTCACTGCAGCCTTGACGTCCTGAGCTCAAGCAGTTCTCCCACCTCAGCCTCTCAAGTAGCTGGGACTACAGGTGCGTACCACCACACCCAACTTATTTATTTATTTTTGATATGGGGTTTAGTCATGTAGCCCAGGCTAGTCTTGAATTCCTGAGCTCAAGCAATTCACCTGCGTTGGCCTCCCAAAGTGCTGGGCTTACAAGTATGTGCCACTGTGCCCAGCCAGCACTGTACTGTTTTGATTACTGTTGCTTTGTAATGCAATTTGAAATTAGGAAGTGTGATGCCTCCTCTTTTTTCCCCCCTGTTAAGAATATTTTGACTATTCAGGGTCTTTTTTGGTTCCATATGAATTGAAGAATTATTTTATTTGTTCCTGTGAAAAAATTTATTGGAATTTTGATAGAGATTATGTTGAATCTGTGTATTGCTTTAGGTAGCATGAACATTTTAGTGATATTAATTCTTATAACCCATGAATACACAATATTCTTCCATTTACTTATGCCTTCTTTAATTTCTTTCATTATTGTTTCATTTTCTGTGTACAGAGTTTTCACCTCTTTGGCTAAATGTATTCCTAAGTTTTTGATGCTATTATAAATGGAATTGTTTTCTTGATTTCTCTGTAGTATACATTGTTATTGTTGTAAAGAAATGCAACTGATTTTTATATGTTGACTTTGTATTCTGCAACTTTACTGAATTTGTTTATTAGTTCTGATTTTTTATTTTAGTGGAAGTTTTAGGGTTTTCTGCATATAGGAGCATGTCATCTGAAAACAGTGACGATTTAACTTCTTCCTTTCTGATTTGGATGCTTTTAATTTCTTTTTCTTGAATGATTCCTGTGACTAGAACTTCCAGTTCAATGTTGAATAGAAGTGGTGAAAGTGGGCATCCTTGTCTTATTTCTGATCTTAGAGGAAAAGCCTTCAACTTTTTACCATTGAGTATGATTTTAATTGTGGGTTTGTCATATGTAGTGCTGGTTTTTTGGTTAATATTATTTATTTGATTTATTGTTTTCCATATTTGACTTTCAAATATTTGCAATTCAAAATTATTTACCCTTCTTTTCAACAATATGAGGATTTGAAGTGCATTAACTTTAATCACCCCATCCAAACTTACATACTACAGTTATACAGTATTTTACTTCTAGACTGTTTTCCCATTTATCATAATTATTTTTGATAGAATCCATGTTTCTTTGAATTTACTTTCTTTGCTCATCATTTCTTCTTGCATCTCAATCCTTCCATCTGTGATCTCTTTATTCTACTGAAGTATCCACTTTAGAATTTAATTTAGTGGGATACATGTTTACTTTTGTCTCTGTTGGTTTTTGTGGGTTTTTTGGTCCTTTTCTTTGGAAGTGAATTTTTATGGTTATACAATTCTAGGTAGAAATTTTTTTTTTCCCGCTTATTGACGGTATTTTTTCTATTATCTCCTCACTTCCGTGGTTGCTGCAAGATTCTAGCAGTCAGTCTCGTTGCTATTTATTTGTCGATGATCTCTTTGACTTCTTTTTAATGTCTCTTTCTATCTAATGTTCTGAAATTTTACCATAGTAAGTCTGGGTATTGATTCTGGGGTACATTTGTTGGTCTTCCTACACCTCCTTATTAATGTATTTCAATAATTCTGGAAAATTTTCAGCTGTTATCCACAGAACATATCCTATTTCCTGTTGTCTTATTCTAGAATTTAATTAGACAGACGGTAGGGCTTTCTAAGTTTTTAATGTTTGTTAACTCTATTTCAAGATATGAATTTTACAAATCTTGATTTTTTTGTGTTCTTGCCAAATCTTTTGTGCTTTTGCAAAGAGTTTTAGAGCAATGTCAGCGTTATAATTTTTCACTTCAGCCATCAAACATAATTTAGGATACTCAAGAGGAAAATTAGGGCCTATTGTATTTACCCATATTTTGGCTTACAATGTTAGTTCTTTCCTGCCTCATGTTCTAAGGTTCCATCTTTTATTGTTTCCTTTCTGTTTAGGGATCTTCGTTTAGCCATTCTTTTAGGGTAGGTGTGCTAGTGATAGATTCTCTTGGTCTTCCTTCATCTGAGAATGCCTGATGTATAATTACCAAGGTTTTTACTTGCACTTAGTGGGAAGAATAGAGAAAAGTATGCCTACTTCATCTCCCCAGAAGCAGAACTCTCCTACCTTTTAATGCTGTTTGCTTTTTAACATCAGAATTTTTAGTTTTTATCTTTTATTGGGAGGGTTTGTCTAGATAACTAATCCATTATTTAAAGGGACTAGAATGTGCCATGTTTTCTTGCATTTTGTTATTTTGACCATGAACTGCCCATGTTTACTAGAAGTGTGTCTATGCAGATTATTTGAGGTCCAGGTTAAAGTTGACTATTTTCGGCCAGTCACTTTGAAACACTATCCATCAATGTCCACCTCAAATTAAATTTTCCTTTTTAGGGTTTTCAGACTACATAGATAACAGAAACTCAAATACACATGAAGCCCAACTTATAGTTATGTATTCTCAGGGGGTTATTTTAATTTACTCCTTCCAACGCTAGGGTTGAGATAGCCAATTTCCTTGCTATTCCTTTCTTTTCAGTGGGGCTTCACTGTGGGTAAAGTTCTTTGGAGTCTCAGTGTTGTAGGGGGATCTCATTTTTATTCCCCACCTGGGTATGTTTTGGGCTTTACTTTCTGCAACCTGTATGTGGTGTAGTCATTAAAACAGAAACTCAAGGATTCTGGATTTTGGCAAAATTCTCCATGATCGGTGCTCTTTTTGGTACTTCTAGAGTTCTGTGTCTTACTTCACTTGGGAGACTGGCATATATACTTACCTTTACACAAGTTAATGTACAAAATATATTTTAAAACATTTATTATTCAGTATTTGAGTTATTTTATGTAGGTGGGCTTGTCAGGGAATCTAATTTACCATGCTCCTGGAAAAAGAATTATTCATAATATATTATTTTCTTCTATAAACTTTTATCTTCTTAGCATATGTCTCTTAGCTGAATATGTTGCAGTCTTAAAGTATTTAATGATTACCCCATTTCTTATCATTACTTGGGGGATTTTTTCCAAATAGTTTAAATTTTCTACTTCTTGTTTATTATCAGTTTTCTTTCTCCCTCTTAACCCTATCGTATAAAACAGACTATATAAAATGATCTTCTGAAAAGCTGTTCAGTCAGGCTGGTATGATTAGATGTCATGAAAGTGATGTGGCATGATTCTTTGGCTGCATAGTCACCTCACGTTCTTTGCTTCTGGATTGAAATTTAGGAGAGGGAACCTGGAGATCAGAAATGATTTATTGTCTTATTTACACATAAAGTGAAGAGGAGAAATCATTCTATATCTAGCTAGAAATGTTCGTAAGAGATATTATCTCTCAAAAAGCAATTGGGGATGTGGGGATTAGAAATGACAACAGAATGGCTACAGACATGATGTTCTATCCAAATTAATAAAATTCAAGGAAGTAATTATGTTAGAGTGGAAGACGTTTGCCTTTTCCTAGATCTCTGGAGCATCAGTCTGAGATCATGTTCAGGAGAAAACTCGGGAAGATACACGTGCACACATGTACACACATGTGCACACACACCTGCATAACTACAAAGACACACGCATTGTAAATACACATATGTAATTCAGTAGTTACAGAACCGGGGAAATTCTGGCAAGTGAGTCATTGGGTTTTGTTTTATCCCCTTCCTGATAATCCTCAAAGTAATATGTGTTCATTAGAAAAACATTGAAAAGTCCAGAAAAATCACCCATGATGCTACTTCCTAATAAAAACAATGGCAATATTTTGGCATATTTCTTTTGCACTTATTAAATATGGTTCAGCTTGTATGAATAATTACACTCAGTCCTGCTTTCCTCCTCTACTTGCCATTCTGTATTAGGTATATCCCCATGTTTCTAAATAGTATTTTAATCATGGCAAAATATTCTTTCATGTGGGTGGTTCACGATTTTGTTCAGGCCCTCTTATTAGAGATTGAAGTTGTTAAAATTTTTCCAATAATAAATTGAGTCACTATTGACCTTTGTCTTGGCCCTAGAAAAGTAATTTTTAAAAATGGTGAAATCTCTGAGAGATCCAAGTTCAGCGATTGACCTATGACCTAGGAGTTCTTCATGGGAGTTTCTCCATCTCCAACTCCTACCCTTCTTTTGGCCACGGCAAACTTTTCAAAGGATTTCTCATAACCACATATGATACATGTTCCCCTTGAGAGGATTTTAGTAAATTTTTTTTAAAAAAATCCCCATCTCACTATATTTCAAGTGCTATTTTAGCCCCCTGTTGTATATTTGATATGCTAGTGCCTGGGCACCAATTGGTACCTTGTGAAAGGACTAAATTATTCTGGGTTCGCACTGCAGGTGAGCATTTCAGACAAGGGTATTAAGCCTTTGAAACATGGCTGGTTCAAATTGACATATTCTGTAAGTGTAAAATACACAATGAATTACAAAGACTTTGTATAATAAAATTAGGTAAGGTGTCTTATTAATAATATTGTTCACATCAATTACATGTTGAAATGATATTTTTGATATTTTGGCTTAAATTAAATATTTTATTAAAATTAATTACATTCATTTCTCTTTTTTAATGTGGCTATGAGAAAATTTAAAATCACATTTGTGGCTCGCATTTGTGGCTGGTACTATATTTGCGTTGGACAGGCTGATTTAGGACATCGAGTTAGAGTCATCCCACGGCTGCACCTTAAAGCAGAAAGCCAACCGCATGGTCCACGCCCCGTACCACTGTTTCCTTCCTGGAAAGCACACCCACTCTCTGCTTCCTGCTTAAGCCTCCAAAATCCTGCATAAAGGAAAAAGAAAAAAAAAAAAAGAAAACGTGTTAGCAGGCCTCCTCCTGGCCCACCCTCTCTCAACATTCAACCCCTCCATAGTGCACGAACGTGGAAACAGAGAATTAGGTGCACGTGGAAGCAGAGAATTAGGTGATGGTAAGAGACCTAACTAATTGTTGAGTCTGTTCTGCGTTAAGTTGGATGAGTGACAGATACTCCCCAGTGGCACAGATCTGCAGTAAAGTGCTCACCGAAAGCTCTGTGGCTTTGGGCTTTGACTGCAGCTTTGAGCCATTTTCTTCTCCTCCATCTGACTTCAATCACTCCTTTTGCAAAAGCCCCAAAGCTCCCTTGTGCCTGCTTTCAGAGATTCAGAACTGGGACCCCGCAGACCTTATTGCCATTTCAGCTGCCGGGAAGATTAACAACGGTGCCTAGCAGAGCTCCTGGCTTTCAGCAGCTAGATGAGAAGGCTAAAGCTGGCACATTTGGATTCAACAGGAACCTTAGATAACTGAGCCAGTTTGTTTAGATTCCACAGTTTTCCAGGCTTGCCAGGACGCTCCAGCCTCCCAGACAACTCAAGGACTTGGCCAAAAACACTTCAGTGAATAAGTGATAGTTGACACACCATCCTAAACTCAGCCACAGCAAGGTCTGTGCTCAGGCCCTCACCAGGAGTGGCCCAGAAACAGCACAGAGCTCCTTGGCTGGGAGCTTGCCCTGGGTGCAGCTAGCTGCACGTGGCTCCTGGTTTCTGCTTTGTGAGGATTCCAAGGGCAGCTGAGGTTCCTTGTTGCCCTAACCCACTTGCAAAGCTGGTCAAGCTCCCATCTAAGCAAAGGTTCTTCCTGCTTTTGATTACTTTCGCAGGGAGCCTCTGCGGGTGCACAGAGTCATATTTCCTGCCATGTTTTTTAGTCTCTTTTTCCACTGGCCCTTTCCCTTTCAGGCTGGTAGAGGCAGAGTCTTTCTTGTGGCTTGATGCCAGTTGAAACTTCCAGATGTGGCTGAAGGAGTCTGGCAGTTTCCCTTCTGAAGCGAGAATCTTCAGTCTAATTCCTAGGAAATGCAGTCTGGGAGAAGAGACAGACACTTGCGTATTTCCCACTCCTCCATAGAACACGTATTTGAGTGTCTTTTTGCTGTAGGCTAAGCTCTGTGCTAGCCCCTGAGAACTCAGATGAATCAGGCGTAAATTCAGCCTTGTTGACTTTTACGGCCTGTGAAAAGCGATGAGCGTCATCACAGAGGTACACACAGGGGAACTAGGATTTCAGCAGAGACATAGATAGGTTTGAGCACACAGAAATGGGAGAAAACGTCATGGACATTTCATGAAAGTGACATTACAGCTGGCATTGGAGGATACGTATGACCTGACTCTAGTACAGGGTTTCTCAATCTCAGCACTACTGACTTCGGACCAGATCTTTTTTTTTTACTGTGAGGTTGCCGTACATTGCAGGATGTTTAGCAGCATCCCTGGCTTACACCCACCAGCATACCAACAGGACCCCATCCGGCTGTGACAACCAAAAATGTCTCCAGGTAAAATCACCCTAGTTGAGAGCCACTGCTAGTAAGACATCAATGAAAGAACATTCTGGAAAGAGTCAGAACACAAAGGACAAGTCCTGCATGAACATAGCAGGTAACTCAGTTTGCCTAGAATGAAGGGTATGAAGAAGACTGAGGCAAAACAGGAGGAAGTTAGAACACCAGCTCCTCAGGTGGGCACTCAGTGTGTGTGTGTCTGTTTTGTTCCGCAATGTATCCCAAGCACTTGGAATGGAGTATCTCAGGCAGTAGGAGCTTAGTAGTGTGTGTTGAGTGGAGGAAAGCCTGGGATCACTTTATGGCAGCATAAAAACACAGGAGAAGGAAGGCAGGATGTGGGAAGGAATTGAATGATTGACATTTTGGAGGTGTTGACTTTGAGATCTATAGACAAGCAGGCGGAGGTATACTGCAGATAGTTGGAATGCAGTGATTGAGCTTAGGAGAAAGTCAAGAAGTGAGACATGTGGGCCAGGTGTAGTGGGTCCAGCCTATAATCCCAGAACTTTGGGAGGCCAAGGCGGGAGGATCACTATAGGTCACGGTTTTGAGACCAGCCTGGCCAACATGGTGAAACCCCATCTCTACTTAAAATATAAACATTAGCTGGGCATGGTGGCGGGCACCTGTAATCCCAGCTACTGAGGAGGCTGAGGCAGGAGAATTGCTTGAACCTCAGGAGCAGGAGGTTGCAGTGAGCCAAGATCACGCCACTGACCTCCAGCCTGGGCAACAGAGTTAGACTCTCAGAAAAAAAAAGGAAGTGAGAAATGTGGACATCGTCTGCACACAGTCCCAGTTGGATGAGACTGGCAAGTTTGGGACTATACATGTCGAAATTCTTGATGACAGCCACATTCATCGGTGTGTAGCACAGATCAGTGCTTTCACACTTATCTTTTTTTTAAGCTATATTGAGGTATGATTGATATACAAAAATTGTACACATTTGCTACATATATCTTGATGAGTTTGGATATATGCATATACCTATAATGCCATCACCACAACCAAGTAACTAGACATACCCATCAAGATGGTTGTTCATTATTATTTATTCTCACCTTTTTCCATGACAAACCCCACATTTTTAGTTGAGCACAGAATTATCTGAAATAAAAACTATATATTCCACGTTCTTTTATCACTAGATGTAACCATGGGACTAAGTTTTGGCCAGGAGATTTAAGAATACACAATTATGATATGTCAATTAAAAATAGATATATTTTTAAAAAGAGTGAGTGTCATGTAATCGCTTCCAGGAACCTGTCCTAATAGACATGTGGCGTCTTTTGTCACCTTTTTATTTGTCCAAAGTTTCATCCTGCTTCCTAGAATCTTGGTGTGAAGGGCTGGAGTTCTAGCAGTCTTCTTGGACCACAAGGATATGTTCCACCTTAAGATGGAGCAGCAAAGGCTGGCACGGGGCCAGGCCTCTAGATGATTTTGGGAATCTGCTATGCCTGCCCTGGATTGCCAATCCCCAGGCTTTTACGTGAGGGAGAGATGGATTTCCGTCTTGTGTAAGCCACTGCTATTGTGGGCCTCTGCTTCTAGCCAAACCTGATCTCAACTGATAGCATGGAAAACAGCAGATGGAGAAGTTGCCAGAGAATTTGAACAGAGGAAAGACGGTGACATGGAGACAAGGGCAGAATTTCAGAAAGGAGGTGTCCTACAATGTGAAAGATGATGAGGTCTGAGGACAAAGATTGAGCAGCCTGTAGGTGGGTTCAAGCAAGCACTGTCTCAGGTTAACTGTAAAGCGAACTGTGGGAAGACCCACTGCAGCACCTGCAAATACCCAAGGCCTGCCAATATAGCTACATCTGGGAATGTGGGAGGTGCCTATGTATTATGAAGAGAAAAAAATATTGTAGACTCACTTCAGGCTGTATAGACTATCTCAGCCTTCAGGGAATTAGAGCCATAGAGTCACGGTAGTCTCTAAGATCATCAAGATAACTAAAGAAGGTATCCAGGCATAGACAGTAAGCAATGAGTGAAGGAGCAAATGCTCTTCCTCCTACTCCCTTCACTGGGCTAATGCTCACTGGCCCTTCAGATTTCAGCCTCAACGTCACCTGCTCCAATAGGCATTTCCTGACCTTCCCTGTTGTAGTCTCTGATAGCTCCCAAAACTTTGCCTGCATATTTCTTTCCAACTTTTATCTATGCATTAATTTGTTTACTATCTATCTTGTTCAATGGTTTGCAAGTTTCATGAAGCTTTGGATCTTCCCTGGTCCATTTCATTGCTGTATCTCTGAGGCCCAGCCCCTTGCCTGGCAAAATAACAGCAGCTCAATTAAACACACGAATGAAGTTTCTCCTTACAGCTCTAGCGCCATCCTTTTGATGTTCTGCTTAGTTTGCTCCTTGTGTGAGGGCGAGAGACGTTCTGATGCTGTTGCTGGCTTCTCAGTGCATTCATCTAAAAAATAATGATGAAGAGGAGAGATCTGAAGGTGGAATTTCTACATAATATCTACCCATGTTGAGGTGAACGGTGTCTTACTTAATTCCTCAGTCACTCATGCAGGGCACAAGGGAACCAATTACTGTACAAGACTGTGGGGTTCCCAAGGGTCTCTCAGAACCTGGAGGAGGCTTCTGAAGTTCCCCTGAGCGGCTCTCAGGGTAAAGGCGTTCTAATAGGTACTCTAGATCAGTACCTGTTAGAAGACTGTTTCTGATACAGAGAAAGGGCAGCATTCCAACCTTTCCCCACTGTACCTCCTCTCTGGCCTAACCCCTCATTTTCTTACCCCAGTCCTCTGTCCCCAGTGAGAGCCACTGCTCTTCCCCAACATACCTCAGGCACTGCCGCTCTGTGCCTCGGCTCAGGTGGTTTCCCCTCCTGGATGTCCCTGTCCCTGCCTCTCAAACACCACCCACTCTCAGAACCCATGCCAAATTCCATCCTCTCTAGGAAGTCTTCCTGGGTCACCCAGCAGGCACTTGTCTTTCTCCTACGATGCCTATTGTTTCATCTTCCTTTGAACATCAGCACATTCTGTCTTGTGGTGTTACTATTATTTTTACATAGGTGTTCAGTTTCCTGAAAGGGTGCTGCCTTGGGCTTCCGTATAGCCCCTGGAGAGCTAGCAGACTGCCCTGAACAGAGAAGACATCACTAGATAGCAGTTGGTTGACTGATTGCAGCATCCTGCTCCTTAACTATGCTCTCCGTTCACTGAAGTGGAGAACACACACACGCATGCATGCGCGCGCGCACACACACACACACACACATGACAACTGTAATAAATGCAGCCCCTGGTTTCATACTTTCGTGAGGGGACTTCACAGCTTCTCATCTTGAACTGTCAGACAGACATTCTACAAGATGCTGAGAACATAATTTATTCTCCTGTCTCAAGCAAAATCTGCTGTGGATAGTAACTTATAAACTGTAATAGATGATTATAAGTGAGATTCACGTAATTGTTTCACAGCAAGCTTTAAATAAACACATAAATTTCAGTGTCCCTGCTTATTGGATTTCCCCGCGTGTTGGAATTGATCTGAGATCTCACTGAAGTGTAAACTATAAACCAGCCTCTGAGACTCTTAAATCCAGAAAGGTGGGACTAGAGATAATAGAATAGTCAGCCCCTATTTGGCAGGATGGTTAGCAAATTACATTTTGTCAGCCGAAGAATGACAGCTTCATTCTCAGTAAGCTCCCGGGCTGCCCCTCACTGGCCCCTCCTTGTCTATCTCCATTGTCAAAGGCTTTGGCTGACAACAGGGGTCAAAACCTCCACTTGTGACACACTAAGATTTTTTTTTTTGGTCGTCGTCGTCTTCTTTTTTTTTTTAGACAGAGTTTTGCTGTTTGTTGTCCAGGCTGGAGTGCAGTGGTGTGATCTCAGCTCACAGAAACCTCCTCCTCCCGGGTTCAAGTGGTTCTCATATCTTAGCCTCCTGAGTAGCTGGGATTACAGGCACCCGCCACCACACTAATTTTTGTATTTTTAGTAGAGACGGGGTTTCACCATGTTGGCCAGGTTGGTTTCGAACTCCTGATCTCAGGTGATCCACCTGCCTCGGCCGCCCAAAGTGCTGGGACTACAGGCATGAACCACTGTGCCCAGGCTAAGATTTTCATTATCAAAAACTCCTTTTGCAATCATTTATCAGGTCAGCCCTAATGTCCTGTTTCAATTGCGTGAGAGCTTATTCGAAGTAACTTGGCCAGTCCCTTAGGTATAGGCCCAGCTCATTCACAGGTTGGAGTGAAGGCACATTTAGCAATGGTAGGGGTGATACGGAAAAGATGGTTGTAATGAAGGTCTTGGGACACACCTTAAAACTGCCATCAAATGTCCCCAGGGCATCAACTTGCAGTAGCATGCCCACCATGGGTGCAGTGTCTCACGAAGCATGCCTCTCCTCTCTAGACTGCAAGCTCATGTCTGGACTGGGCTAAACCTCTTTCTTCCATGTTTCAAACTGTTATGTTCATTTTATGTGCATTATAAAAAATTATGAACTGATAAGCCTATGTTGCTAATTGAAAGCTTTCTTGCTCAAGCGGGCTGTGTCAGAATTACTGATGACTTCCAAGGGACAAATATGAGGACCAACTTCAGTGGCAACTCCACAGAGCAAGCCACCCAGGTTAAAAGAAAGGGAAATGACTTCCTTCTGCTAGGAAGAACTAACACAGAAATCACTGCTTTCCCAACAGCAAGTTATCTAAGTCGATGGTAGGATTGTATGTTCCTTTTTAATTTGCATACAAAAAATTTCAAGAATACTTGCTTCTCAAATAGATGATGGGGTCATTCTAAGAAAGCAACATAAGGCCCTAATTTGGAAGTACTTGGAGGACCATACTTGCTCAAAGTGTTCTAAGACTGGAAGAAAGCTGTTTTGCAAGGGATTTTGCCACCAAAAGCCATGGGAAGGTCCAACAGAAAGAAAAACTTGATATGCTTTATTTTTTTAATTTTATTTATTTATTTTTGAGACAGAGTCTGGCTCTGTCACCCAGGCTGGAGTGCAGTGGCACGATGTCAGCTCACTGCAGCCTCTGCCTCCTGGGTTCAAGCAATTCTCCTGCCTCAGTCTCTTGAGTAGTTGGGATTACCTGATATGCTTTATTTAGAATGAAGCTGTGTATCCTCTTCAAATCAGCAAGAGATATATTAAGCTGTAATTGACAGTGGTTAGTGATTTCATGTTTTCCTGTGATTTCTAAACATCCTATAACTGAACCATGGCTGTTACAAGCATGGATTCTGAAGCCAGCTAGGACTGTCTGGGTTTAACTCCTGGCTCTAATATTTACTGACTTAACTTTTCTGTGCCTCAGTTTCCTCATGCGAAAAATGAGGATACTTATAGTACCTACTTAATAAAGGTTTTAAGGAGTGAGGACTAAGCTCTGATTTTTTTATCTTGCCCAAATTCCTATCTAAGGGGTCTGGGGAGTTCATACCCTACAAGCCATACATTCTCATCAGATGGGTTTTATTTAACCCTGCATATCGTGACTTACTTTCCAATCTGACTCTGGTATAATGAGGAAGAAAATAAAATGTTTGACCCCAAAACATGTTTCTCTGCCATATCTTGAAATTGCCCTGCAAAGTTTCTTGTGGGAAAAATCCACATTCTGTAGAGAATTCCCTTTTCCCCTTGTTTTCCTTTCTTCCTTTCCAGATCCAGGAGATAATCAACTAAGAGCCAGGCACCCTTTTAAGTCCGATAAGAAATATTTTACAACCTGCTCTCTCTGAAGTCTGCTATCGGAGTATTTCTTAAATGTATTTGATTGATGTCTCATGCCTCCCAAAAACATATAAAACCAAGCGGTACCCCAACCACCTTGGGCACCCCAACCACCTTGGGCACATGTTTTCAGGATCCCCTGAGGGCTGTGTCATGGGCTATGGTCACTCACATTTGGCTCAGAATAAATCTCTTAAAATAGTTTTACAGAGTCTGACCCTTCGTCAACAGGAGGATTAGTAGGTTAGTACATGGAAAACCCTTGGAACAAGGCCTGGCACATACTGAGCACTGTACAAACATCTCTTGCTGCTACTACTATTATGGGGGGTATGGAGAGGGGAGGACTTTTTAAGAATTATGATTCAGAATTATTGAGAAAAGCAATTCAAAAAGCATATACCCTGAATTTAGACACACCAGGTTTTAAGTTTGTGCTCCGTTATTAGCTGTGTGAACATAAGCACGAAATGCATATCTATAAGCATCAGTTACTGTGTCTATAAAATGGGTTGATTTTAGGATACACTCTGTAGGGTTGCAGGGTTAAATAAGTGAATGATTGAAAAGTACTTAGCATAGTGTTGGCACATAGTAAATATTCCAAAACATTGACTGTGTTTCTCCTATCATTACCTCAGTGTTTTACCTTCTTTAAAGAATAATCTCAGTAGTACGTTATCAGTTTAAATTTAGTAATTTTAGTTCTTTTGAATACTTATGCTTGTCTGTCTTAATAAAGTATTATCTTCGTAACATAAAATGAAACGTATAATTGAGCAGGAAAGTGTGATACTGTCTTTTTTTCTCACTTGAATGTACTTAGAGGACGTCTAATAATTCAGATCACAGGCCGTTACCAAGGCCCTGTATTTCACCTGTTGGCAGCCATCCTGATGGCAGGCAAGGAACCAAAGGGAAAATATGCATCTCTAAGGAGCCAGCCTCAGAAACCCAACCCATAAGACAGTGGCAAATGCCACATGTGATTAAGTGAAACAATGAATTTATGGAAACTCAGATCAGAGATAGTCACGATTTTTCTTTGGAAATATGAGAAATAATCTTTCTCCAAAATATGTTTTCAAGGAATGATCTTACCTTTTTATTTCATAAAATGACAGATTAGAAGTAAAGATTTAGAACCATGGCAGCATTTGGTCTTCTAAACCAGGGGTCTCCAACTCCCAGCCGTAGACTGGTACCGGTCTCTGGCCTGTTTGGAACCAGGCCGCAAGCAGGAAGGGAGCGTTGGGCGAGTGAGCATTACCACCTGGGCTCCACCTCCTGTAAGATCAGTGGCAGCATTGGAGTCTCACAGGAGTGCAAACTTTATTGTGAACTGCAAATATGAGGGATCTAAGTTGCACACTCCTTATGAGCTCCTTGTAAGAACTGAATTCTCCCACCCCATCCGCAGCTACTTCCCGCCCCCCGTGGAAAAATTGTCTTCCACAAAACCGGTCCCTGGTGCCAAAAAGGTTGGGGGTTGTTGCTCTGAACAAAGCAGCACTGATTGAATGGCATAGACATGGTGGACTGTCCTGGGAAAGAGACAATTCGGGGATTGCAGGCTCTGTGTCCCACTCATTGTGGGCTTCCTCAAGGAACAGATCTGAGTAAGGATGAGATATTGCTAAAGTTAGAAGGGTAACCATCAGAACCTCAGGGGGAATATTAAACAGTTGTACAGATTGGGGGTTAGCAAGCTACAACCTGTAGGCCAAATCCAGCTGCCCGCCACCTGTTTTTGTAAATAAAGTTTTGTTGGAACACAGCCATGTCCATTTGTTAATGAATTGTCTGTAGCTACAGCAGCAGAGTCGAGTGGTTGTGTCAGAGACTGTAGGGCCTATAAAGCCTAAAATATTTGCTATCCAACCCTCGACAGAAAACCTTTGCCTACTTTAGTTAACCGATTCAGCTCAACTAAAGAACCATAGAAAAATATTAAAAAGCAAACAATAAAATGAAGAAAATATTTACAACACACATAATAAATCATGGCTTAATAGCTTTAAAATAGCTATACAATATAACAGTAATAAAATAAAAAATGCAAAATATATTGCTTTCTAAATCAATAAGCAAAATATGAATAGCACCAACAGAGAAATGGATAAAGGCCATGAATAGCCTGCATTAGTCAGAGTTCTCCAGAAGAAGAGAACTAATAGGATATATGTATATATGAAAGGGAGTTTGTCAGGGAGAATGCGCTCACATGTTCACAAGGCGAAGTCCCACAATAGGCCATCTGCAAGCTGGGGAAGAAAGCAGCCAGTAGCAGCTTAGTCCGAGTCCAGAAGCCTCAAAAGCAGGGAAGCTGACAGTGCAGCCAAAGGTCCAAGACCCTCCAGCAAACCACTAGTGTAAGTCCCAGAGTCCAAAGGCCGAAGAACCTGGAGTCTGATGTCCAAGGGCAGGAGGAACGGGAGGAAGCAGCCAGCACAGGAGAAAGATGAAAGCCAGAAGATTCTGCAAGCCAGCTTACCCCACCTTCTTCCATCTGTTCTGTTCTAGCCACACTGGCAGCTGACTGGATGGTGCCCACCCACATTGGGGGTGGCTCTTCCTCTCCCAGTCCACTGACTCAAATGTCAATCTCCTCTGGCAACACCCTCACAGACACACCCAGAAACTACTTTACCACCCATCTAGGCATCCTTCAATCCAATCAAGTTGACACCTAATATTAACCATCACATAGCCCATTCACTAATAAAGGACTGACTGGCCTGTAAGCCTAGGAAACACTGATAACACCACTAGTAATCAAGGAAACACAAATTAAGCCAATAAAAATATTTTTTTCCAGGAAAATGGCAAAAACTTAAATTCTTCTTTTATTTTCTTCTTTTTTATTTTATTTTTAAATTGGTACTGCAGGTTGATGAAGTTATGGGGAGAAAGAAAGAACTCTCATATGTTCAAGTGTAAAAAGGGCAAATTTTCAGGAAGACATTTGGCAATACGCACCAAAAATCTTTAAAATGTGCTTTCCCTTTGACATAAAAAAAATCACTTCTGGGAATTTTTCTTGGGAAGTAATTGGACATGGCATAAAGATATGGATACATAGATATTCATGGCAGCAAATTTGGAAACAACCTAGCTGTGAATAAAACAAGACTGGTTAAATGAAGTAGAGTATATACAACTTAATATTATGCAGGCATTAAAATCATGACATAGTGTTATGTTTATTGACATGGAAAGCGGTTCCCAATTTAAAAATAATATTAATATACATCACAGCCAACTGGAAGGACCGAAGCTGTAGCCTGGGTTTACAGAATGAGTAACGTGAGGCTCCATAACAAAAACATTGCCGAAAACATCAACCCACCAACTGTCAAACTGCAAGTAACTTTGTAAAATCCAGATCCCTCATTCTGTATATGCTGACGTCCAAGTCCCAGAAAGGAAGTGAGTTGACCAAAGTCACACAGCCAATGAAGCTGAGAGTTGCACATAACAGGAACCTCTTTGTAATGGCTTAAGCAAATAGGGATTAACTTGTTCAAAAGCAACAAAAAGTCCATAGACGGGCAGTGCAAGGCTAATACATCTGCCCAATGATGCCGTCAGGGACCCGGACCCATTCTGCTTCCCGTTCCGACCTGTGCGACTTTGGTTCTGCTGGTGAGACGGCTGCGTTTTGCTGAGAAAAATTGTTCTGCATGGCACCATCACAACCTGGACGGGGACATCTGGATGCTTCCTGGAAATGTCATCGTAATGCTATCCTATGTCCCTACCTGGTCTAAGTGTGTGCTCTGTGCCTCTTTTCATCCCAGAGGAGTCATCATGCTTTGCTTTCGGTAAGTGATTGGATACATGGGTCCTCTCTGCTCTGTCGTAAGCTCTTGGAAAATACAGAGCGTGTGTTATTTAATTCCTGGATTTCTCTGCAGTTTAGACAGTGGTTTAAATGTGGTGGGTCTTCAAGTTCTGCAAGAATATTTGCTGTTTCTGTGTTTGGTTGGTTAGTTTAGTTTTTCCCCATCCATGTGAGCTTAGCATGGTGCACTGTCTCTGAAGCCTGGGTTTGAACTCAGTTCTGCTATTTACTAGCTTAGCAATACTGAAAAATGTAGTTAACCTCTCTGTGCCTCAGTTCCTCATCTCAATAACGGAGACAAAGATAGTACCTGGGTGTTGTGAACACTAAGTGAGTTTGTATTTGTAAAACACTTATACCAGGGTTTTGGCACATTTTAATAGTGAGAACCATATAGGTGCTTGTTTAAAAAAAAAAAAAAAAAAGAACTTTAGCTTAGGAAATCTCTGATGTGTATGTACATGGAGGGGCTTAGATGGACAAAAACCTCACACAAATGAACATGTGAGGATCCCAAATGCCAGTTTCCAAAGGTATTAGTGGGGAAATCATGGGGAGAAAAGCAGATATTTTTGTGGCAACTCAAAACCAAAGCTGGAGAACTGAGTGTCCTAAGTGTAAGAAAAAGGAGAAAAAGTATATTTAGGAACTCATTTGGGTTTAAGAACTCATTTTTTTAAGAAACGAGTTGGAATGAACACCCAGTAAAAGTGTCTACCTGTCTTGGGAGGAGATGGTTAGTTCTGAAGCAAGGATTGTCCTGTGTTTTCAACAGTGTCATGCATTTAAAATTGCAGTCAGCTGCACATAACAGGAACCTCATTGTAATGGCTTAAGCAAATAGGGATTAATTTGTTCAAAAGCAACAAAAAAGTCCATAGATGGGCAGTGCAAGGCTAATATAGCTGCCCCGTGATGCCATCAGGGACCTGGACCCATTCCTACCTGTGAGACTTTGGTTCTGCTGGTGAGATGGCTGCTGTGCCTCCAGGCGTCATGCGTGCATTTTAGCCAAGAAGAAAGAGAAAGGAGGAATGACAAAAGCAGTAATACCCAGTGGGTCTTCCCTTTTTAAGAGCTTCCTCGGAAAGCCCACCCAGGAACGTCTGAGTATATCTCATTGGCCAACACTGGGGTCACATGACCAGTCTTCTCTGTAAATAAGTTTGGGGAGGTAAGCATTTTGGCTTGTCACATTGACCCCCCCGGACTCAAGTCGTGTTAATAAGGAAGAAGAGGAGAGTGGATATTGCCTAGGCAGCAAGCAACGGGGCCATATAGGAAGGCTGTAAGCCCTTCAATAAGCAGCAGAGTAGAAAGTGGAGCCATTTGCTGAGACTGAAAAAACAGGTCCAGAAACAGTTTCTTTGGGAGAAATTAGGAGTGCTGTTTGGATACGCTAAGTTTGAGGTGCTTATCAGACATCCAAAGGAAGACGTTGAGTCTTCTGTTGGATACACAAGTTTAGAGCTCAGGGCTGGGGACTTAATTATGCTGCCATCAAACTATAGAGTGCTTCTATTTTTCCCATAAAGATGAGCTAAGTCCATGAGCTGAGAGTGGAGACAGTAAAAGAGATTTGAGGAGAGAGAGAGAGTATACCGTCGTCCCCAAGGAGAGTGTGAAAGCAAACTCACTGGGTGGTAGGATTGCTGGGGAGCATGGGTGTCCTTTCGATATTCATGGTTTTGAACTTGTCCAACCAACCAGCCAAATCGTGTAGTTTTTCTTGAGCAGTGTTGGGTTGCTTGGATGAAATCACACAAAAGTAGATTTGCTCAGTCTTGACTTTTTCCTGCTATGTCTGAGGAAGAGAGAAAAGGACAAGGAAATTGAGAGTGATTACAAGTTGATGATTTTAATTATATGATGAACATTGCAAAAAGTTGTGGCTTATAGACTGCCAGTCTTGATAAGGTAAAAAATTATGTTGTAGTGCCACTAGAACAAATATGTTTGAAGGATGAGAGGTGGCGATCAGATTATGGGATATTTGAAAAAGGGATTTCAGGCATAGCATAGTTATTAGTGAAGACAAGGTCTAGGGTGTGATCTTGGGAGAGGGCGACTGCTAGAGAGGAAGGAAAAGGTTGCTGCAGAGGGCATCAAACCTCTAAGGGCTAGGACATTCACAAGGATGGTGAAGTTACCAAAATGAAGGAAAGACAAAGAGGGGAAGGGTCACCAGAGTCAGGAGTTAATGGCATAGAATAATGGCCACAGGGATGGTGCAGGGGTTTGGAGGTGGTGACTAAGGAAAAAAAATGGCAGGTGGTGTATGCCAGTGGTGTGAGCTTCAAAAGAAGGTATAGTTGGTCTCTGAACAATGCAGAGGTTAGGAGCCCTGGCTCCTCTCACAGTGGAAAATCTGCCTATATATAATTTTGATTTCCCCCAAACTTAACTACTAATCACTTACTGCTGACACAAAGCCTTACAAATAACATAAACAGACAATTAATGCATATTTTCTGTGTTATATGTATTATGTACTGTATTCTTACAATAAATTAAGCTAGAGAAAATAAAGTGTTGTTAAGAAAAATCATAAAGAAGAGAAAATATATGTACTGTTCACTAAGTGGAAATGAATCATCATGAAGGTGTTTATCCTCATTGTCTTCACATTGAGTAGGCTGAGGAAGAGAGGGAAGAAGAGGGGTTGATCTTGCTGTCTCAGGGGTGACAAAGATAGAAGAGGTGGAGAAGGTGGAAGGGGAAGCAGGAGAAGCAGGCACACTTGGTGTAACTTTTATTGAAAAAAAATCCACGCATAAGTGGACCCACGCTGTTCAAACCAATGTTGTTCAAGGGTCAACTGTAGTGTCACAAGAGAAGAGTCTGAAGACGGAGTACTGTCTGCTAAATGTGGTAGATCAAGGCTCTAGGGAGATGGACTGGATGAGGGGCAAGGATGGAGGGGTTGGTCTAGAAAAGGGAAATAGCACCACATCCTCTGAGAATGGAGGAAGCAGAAGAGTAGCTGTTTAGGCTTTTTGGGCTCCATAGGCTCAAGTGGGTGACGTTTGTCTCCTGCGAATGAGGAAGATGGAGATGGTTGGGAGTAAGGACTTAAGGTTTGGGATAGATATTGATGCGAACGAGAAAATATCATTTCCTGATGACAAGAAGCAGGATTCTCAAACCCTCCTGAGGGAGACACTGATGAGTTGGCTGCAGCATCCAGTAGCTGCTGTGATAGTTCATGACATGGGTCAACTTGGCTGAGCTGTGGGATGGCCGAATATTTGGTTAGTCTGGGTGTTTGCAAGGGCATTTCTGGAAGAAATTAGCATTGAATTGGCAGCCTGAGTGAAGTAGATGGCCTTCCCCAATGAGGGGGTCCTTGTCCCATCTGTTGAGGGTCTGAATAGGATAAAAGGGAAGAAGAAGTTTGAATTCTGTCTGACTGATGATATTCCCCTGCTTTCAGCACTCCCGGTTTTCAGCCTTTGGCACTCCTGGTTCTCAGCCTTCAGCTCAGGACTAGAATTTGCACCATCAGCTCTGTGGTTCTCAGGCCTTCTAGCTACACCACCAGCTATCCTGGGTCTCCAGCATGCAGACTGCAAACCATGGGGCTCCTCAGCCTCCATAATCACATGAACCAATTCCTTATAATAAATCTCTCCCTAGATAAACATATATTTATATCTCCTATTGGTTCTGTTTCTCTGGAGAACCATGACTAATACAGATGCCATGGCTATAGGACTTTTCTGATCAAGCTCAGCTGTCACA